TTGAGATGGAGTCTCACTCTGTTGCCCAGGCTGGAGTGCAGTAGTGTGATCTTGGCTCACTACAACCTCTGCCTCTTGGGTTGGAGTAATTCTTCTGCCTCAGCCTCCTGAATAGCTGGGATTACAGGTGCCTGCCTGGTAATTTTTGTATTTTTAGTAGAAACGGGGTTTTACCATGTTGGCCAGTCTGGTCTTGAAATCCTGACCTCAGGTGATTCACCCACCTTGGCTTCCCAGATTGCTGAGATTACAGGTGTGAGCCACCACACCCAACCCAGACCCTTTTTAATGAGCCAATATGCTGATTGCAAATACATTAATTATGATTAAACATTTTCCATTCATTTGAAAAGATGTTATTTGCTCAATATAGGATTATTTGTTGATATACTTGTTCTTTTAGTTCTTTAAGGATATTGCTCCATTGTCTTCCAGTTTGCATTGTTTTTGATAATAAGTATGTAATCAATGTTACATTTGGCTATCTGTTGTTAAGGTGTCTTTTCCCCCTGGTTTCTTCAAGTAATTCTTTATTATACCTGGTTTTCAGCAATTTGATGCTGGGTCTTGGTGTGGATTTGTTGATATATATTGTGGCTGTGGTTTGTTGAGCTTTTTGCATCTCTAGGTTCATAGTTTTTATCTGTTTTGGAAAATATGGGACTAATATTTGTTGCCTTTTTATTTTTTTGGATAGAGGGTCTCACTCTGTTACCCAGGATGGAGTACAGTGGCTCAAACATGGCGCAGTGCAGCCTCATCCTCCTAGGCTCAAGTGATCCTTCCAACTCAACCTCCCAAGTAGCTAAGACTACAGTTGTGTACCACCATGCTCGGCTAATTTTTTGTAATTTTAGTAGAGATGAGGTTTCACTGTATTAGCCAGGATGGTCTCGATCTCCTGACCTCATGATCTGCCTGTCTCAGCCTCCCGAAGTGCTGGGATTACAGGTGTGAGCCACTGTGCCTGGCCTATTTTGCAACATTTTAAAGTAGTTCTTGCCAAATTTGACCCTGACTGAGTTATTGTAGAATAGAAAGCCTTGTTTCAGACGTTTGGAAAGTCCCCATACCAGTTTGAAAATACAGAGGTGATACTTGAGTGACTAGGGTTTTATACTGGGATCTCCAGCTGCTGACTTTAAGACTGGCACAGAGTTGGGGAGGGATTGGGCCTAGGACAAACAGAAACTCCACAAGGCTTTTCTGCCATTTTCATTTTCATTTTTATTTCTCTTTATCTCTCTGTTAATAGTATGGGGTGCTGAATATTATAATTTCAAAATTCTTTATTTGTTTTTATAATGCTGCCACTTTCTTAATTAGGAAGTTTTAAGCATTTTTAGACATTTTTTACTTCAGTTAGATTTGGTAATGTCATCTTTGTTGACTAAAGGTCTGTTTTAGGGATTTAAGGAATATTATACATATTCATAAGAGATGACTGAGTTATTTCTAAGAACATGCACAGTCTGCCCTTTGTTTCCTTCTCTTTTGACATTACCCAATAATAAGTTTAAGATTTTTTCCTTGGGATTGTGAAGTATATTTTATTAGTCTTTTGTCAAACTTCACTATGTTTGATCTAGTGGAAACCAGTTGCCAGCTTCCAAATATTCTCTCTTACTGTAGTCACACATACAGTGGGCCGGATCCCCCGATCACAAGTTGCAACAAAGAATATGAAATGAAATCCACGAGCATTGTTCATTAGAGACTCAGTGCCCAGAGTGTTTCCTCATGGCTGTTTTTCTCTTGTTTTAGCTGCTTTTAACAGAATAAGCGAAACTGGGTAATTGATAAGAAATCATACTTAGTTTTTACAGTTCTGGAGACTGTCCCAGGTCAAGGCTGGGAATCTGGTGAGAGCCTCTTGCTGTTGGGAACTCTGCAAACTCCTTAGGTAGCACAGGTATCACATGGTGAGGGGATTAAGTGTGTAGCTCAGATCTTTTCTTCCTCTCATGATGGCAACTGTGCCACTCCTGAGATAACCCATTTATTCATTCAGCCATTATGGATTAATTTATTTATGAGCTCCAAACCCTCAGGACCCAATCACCTTTTAAAGCCCCACCTTTGATTACTTCCACATTGGAGATTAACATTCAACATGTGTGTTTTGGAGGGGATAGACATTCAAACTTAGCAGTGGCTGATCAGGTAGGTACACTCCCTCTGCTGAGCATGAAACAAAATTCCAACTCTCAGAAGACTATAGGAGCTAAGTAAATGCCTTATTATTTTTTTTTTTCATAAATAGTTTAGGTACACTCAGCCCCTGTTACTAGTCACATTCATGGGGACCCTCCCGAAATCTAGTGCCTAGACACCATGAAAGGTCCAACATTGTAAACAAGCATTTGTAAGTATATGTAGTCTCAGGACTACTAATGTTAACTCTCTTTTGCACACTAAGTAGTAAGACTTTGTCATAATAAGAACTTCAGATCCACTGGAGAAATAGACATTAAGGTCCATGTAATAATACTCACTTCACTCACCAAAAGGAGGCCTGTTCCAATTCAGCTGTTGCATTAGCAAACACATTCAATTTTAGCCTCAAAATTGCTGTGTGGGAGACAGTGAGTGTAGTCAGAGAATGAAAGTGGATTTACCATGTCATTGAATAAATGCTTGGAAACCACACACCCAGGAAATTTAAGAATTAAGTATAAATTCTCAGTACTGTCAACCTCATCTTTCCTCATCTACGTATGTGGGATGTTTCAGGACTCAGTTGCTTTTGAGGATGTGACTGTGAACTTTACCTGGGAAGAGTGGACTTTGCTGGGCCCTTGTCAGAAGAATCTCTACAAAGATGTGATGCAGGAAACCATCAGGAACCTGGACTGTATAAGTAAGGACGATGTCATATCTCCACTTAGTCAATTAGGGACATTTGTTTCTTGATCTGCAGTGCTGTTCAAAGATTTGCAATATGGGAAAGGGGTATGACTGACCATGGAATAACACAGGGTTTAGGGGTGCCATCCTCCCAAGCAATTGCATATCCTGATGCAACTTTTTTCTACCACAGCTTAACTAATGTTCACTGGCACCCTGATTGGTCACATAAGCAGTTGATAAACATACATATTTATCACACAGCTTGAGCTACTAAAACAAAATACTAATATAAATACTAATCTATACCCCCATTGAAAGATCACAGCAAACTTGTTACAAATTATTGGACTTAAATTGCAAAGGCATATTTCTGTGCTGTTTATTTTGTTGCACTGGTCTACTTCTGAGTCATTATGCTAGTACCAAACATTTTATTAGCACAGATTTGCAGTACGTTTTGAAATCCAGAAGTTAGAGCCTACTAACCGTGTGTCATATTTGTTATATACTATATTCTCACAATAACATAAGCTAAAGAAAGAAAATGGCAATATGGGCTGGGTGTGGTGGCTCACGCCTGTAATCCTGCGCTTTGGGAGGCTGAGGCGAGTGGATCACTTGAGGCCAGGAGTTCAAGACCAGCCTGGCCAACATGGCAAAACCCTGTCTCTACTAAAAATACAAAAAAAAAATTAGCCAGGTGTGGTGGCACATGCCTGTAATCTCAGCTGCTTGGGAGGCTGAGGCCCGAGAATTTCTTTAACCTGGGAGGTGGAGGTTGCAGTGAGCCAAAATCTCACCAGTGCACTCCAGCCTGGGTGACAGAGCAAGACTCTGTCTCAAAAAAAAAAAAAAAAA